AAGCGAGAGACCGGTTTCATTGGTAGGTACGCACGTGCAGCATGCCTCGGTTGTTCGTCATGTACCACGCCTAGGAGCACGAGGAAAGGGGCACGAGTTCTAGACCGTCGGCGAGATACTATCGCTGGCCATGGATAGAGAGAGAGAGAAAGAGAGAGAGAGTCCGGCTCTAATGGCTTGCGGCCACGATCGCCAACAGATCGCCCCGCCACGCTCCATTTCCTCGCTCCAGCACGCTCTTAGGGGGTCGCATGCCTTTCGCAAAGTGAGAAAAATCGAATTTCCGAAATGAACAATGAACAATCAAAGTTAAGTAATATAATACAAGACTCTAATATAGAATTTTACAGACACACGTTTTTTTTTTTTTTCAATTTTTTATTATTTTATTTTGGAAATATAATTAACGGGTTTCTGAAGAAAGAATGAAAACGAATAAGTTATGACTTTCTGAAAACTCTTCAGTTTCCCAGTGGCCACCCTGCACATCCGTGACAAATTGCAAACTGTTATTTTAATTGGCAAATTGACATTCTCTGCATCACAGAACGTGTGTACACCTCGTGCCTCGCGACGTCGACGGATTAATGGCGGCCGATAAACATCGGACGCGAAGCTTAACAAATATACGAAGAAAAGGAGAACCGATTTGCACTTTACTTCGACTGCACAAAGTGGAACATGGGCCGTCAATTTCTGGCGAGGCGATTCGTCGGTCGATTTCCATTATCTCGCTCGAGGTTTAATCACCGGCCACGCTCGCCGCGTCTGTCACTCTGTCAGGCAACACCGTGGTGGTTTTTGCCGATCGAGAGAGCCACGCAACGCGATCGCAAGTCGGCTAATTAAAGGCAACTTTTACGCCGGCCGTGTGCAAACTGTTGCATGTTGTCCCGCAGATAGACGATGTTATTAGCATGCAGGATGGAGCTATCGCCTTGACAGCCCCGGTTAATGGTTTTCTTGGTACGTTGTATAAATTTCGAAATCCATCGTGTAATCGAATCTGGCCGCCGTTAACGAGGCTAACGCCGACAATTTCGTTATTTTGCTCGGGCTCACGAACCCTGTCAGTCGTTCAACGCGTTCGATGCGCTGTCGGTCCCTGCGGACCGACGATCCGCTATTCGTTGGGCTCGGCGTCGGTCCCTGGGGACCGACGCTGCATTATTCGTCGGCGCACATCGA